GACGACTGTCTTCCCCACGGAACTTTCATGGTCTGGTTTTATTCAGAACGAGGCCAGACCATTCCCATCTGCGAAAACAGCTGCCCTTTTACCCTCTCACGCCCATCCCTTGGGTTCCAGCTCCCATGTTCCTTCACGTGGAACATGGCTTTATATGGCCTCGCATCTAAAGCCATTCATTCTGGTATTTCTCTTCTGGCTCCACTTCCGTTTTTCAGAGATTTCCCCAAAACTGGGTTCTTAAAGTACAACTGTAAGCAACACGGTTCTCCAGTCAGACAGACTTGAATTGTAATCCAGGACTTGTGCCAATTTAAGTATGTGACTTGGATACGTCCCTTTAACTTTGCTAAGCCTCCTTTTTTTTTTCCATCTAAAAATGGGATAGTCATACGAATCTCCAAGTGGTTGTGAAGATGAAAACAGGTGAAGTGCGAAAAATACTTAGCATGCTATCTAGCTGGCACATAGTAAGCAATCAATTGATGTCAGTTATTTTTTGAACAGATAATTCCCCAAAGAAGCACAATTTTCTTAGAATCAAATACAAAATATAATAATAACAAAACTTTTTTCATCAGTTACATAAGGAAGGTTTTTTAAAGTGATGTTACTTAGTGCAAAGAGTACTCAGTGAAGAGAATGCCGTGGGCCAAGTGAGGGTACAACTTGATACAATCATTTGGGAAAGCAATGGAACTGTATGTCAGGAGCTTCAGAAATGTCAGTTACTTCATTTCACAAATGCACATCGGAAAATTTTCTTTGGGAAATAATCCTAATGCAGAAAGGTGGTATTGTAGCATTATTTATGGCAGTGAAAATATTTAAACTTTTTATAATGGAAATTTTTAACATACACAACAGTAAATTAGGTAAATGACCCCCATGTGCTCATGACCCATCTTTAACAGAGATCAATATTTTGCCTATCTTGTTTTTTTGAAAAGATTTAAACCTACTAAATGTCTAAAAACAGAAGAGTTGAATAAGCTGGTGTACATTTATTTAGAGTATTATGAAGCTTTTAAAGTAATTTGGAATTATGTATATGGTGTTATCACAACTATGAAAATTCAAAATTAACATCCAGTCTATGTGTAGAAAAACAGAAAAATGAGTACAGTAAAATATTAACAAGTTTCTGTTTGGTGGTGGGACTGTGGATGATTTTCTCATTTTCTATTTTTAGAAACTTTATAAATAATCTATAAAAATTATATATTGTTATTATAACAAAGAAACAACAAACAAAACCTATAAATCTTGCACCTGAACATGATAGGTTATACCTTTTACCGAGAATAGCTTTAACTCTCCTTGATCTATTTTAGCAACCTACATTTACATGAGCATTCTTGTGTGCCATTTTGTGTTAGTGCTTCATATTGAGCTTATGGTCAGCTAACACATTCAAATCTTTAACCAACCATCCTCATGTGTAAGTGATTTCTTTTTTTAATTTTTTTATTGATTAAGGTATTACATATGTGTCCTTATCCCCCCATTCCCCTCCCCCCAAGCATGCCCTCACCCCCCTGTTATCTGTGTCCATTGGTTAGGCTTATATACATGCATTCAATTCCTTTGGTTGATCTCTCCCCCTTACCTCCACCCTCCCCTACCTTTCCCCTGAGGTTTGACAGTCTAATCGATGCTTCTCTGTGTAAATGATTTGACTCTGAAATTTTATTCCCTTAATTTTGACTAGTGTTCCCCTTCAGGGTAGAGCAAGATTTCTTGTGAAAGGATGACTCTTTTTCCCATTTCTTCTTTTCTTCCAACTCATACCTTACGCATTTATACACTCTTCCTAAAACAACCACTTTGAACAGTTCAAATAAAATAATTTTGTTTTATCACAATATTTTTCTTGTTCAAATAGATTGTAATGAGAACTGAAATAAATCCATTCTGCTCTTTTGATTGATGATCTAAATCTGCTTTTTAAAATGATAGAGTACATTTAAAAACAGTTCAGGGGAGGGGTCACCTTATAAAAACTGTATAAAGAGTTTTGTTTCAAGTCAATTTGTGAAGAAATTTTGTTTCCTAGGTATGCAAAGAAGCCTTTTTACACAGATGTCCTTAGAGATAATATGGATCAGTCCAGAGTTCTCCTCTGGGTGAAAGCAGAACCCTTTATAGTGGGTGCCTTACAGGTCCCTCCTCCATCCAAGTTCAGTCTTCACTACCTCAGGAAGATTTCCACCTATGTGCGAACCCGGGCCACAGAGGGAGCTTACCCACGCCTGTACTGGTCAACCTGGAGGCACATTGCATGTGGGAAGCTGCAGTTGGCTAAGGATCTGGCGTGGCTTTACTTTGAAATATTTGATAGTCTTGCAGTGAAGACACCGGAAGAGCGCCTGGAATGGTCTGAGATTCTGTCCAACTGCACATCTGAGGATGAAGTTGAAAGGCAGAGAAATCAGGTATGGCTTTATATGTATGTGTGCTTAATTACTTTGGAAAATAAACTTTTCAACTTTTAATTTTTAAATTAAAATATTTTATTTTTAAATTTTTAATGTATACACTAGCTGTGTAGTATGTGGTTTTAGGTTAATGATCACTGTAATCCCAAAGCGCCCCTTGGGTTTTTGAAATTTTCAAAAACCACTTTGGCAGTACTTAATGAATTAGTCCTAGTTAGCAATCCTTATTCACCTACTTCCAAAGCAATGTTACAGGAACCCTGTAATTGAAAGAGGGAAATACTTTCATTGACTTGAAAAGGTTGCCCGGTTGGTGTGGCTCAGTGGTTGAGCGTCAACCCATAAACCAGGAGGTCACAGTTCGATTCCCAGTCACATGCCTGGGTTGGGGCTCGATCCCCAGTGTGGAATGTGTAGGAGGCAGCTGATCAATGATTCTCTCTCATCATTGATGTTTCTCTCTCTCTCTCTTCTCCCTTCCTCTCTCTGAAATCAATAAAAACATCTTTTAAAAAAAGTATTTTGAGGTCAATGAGTGCTTATGAACCACCTGACTTTTAAAGTAAACATCTGCTATGTGCTGGAATTCAAAGATTAGGACAGCATCTCTGCTTTCATGGCTTCATGGAGCTCATGGACTAGTAGGGAAAGCTGGTGTGTAAAAAGTGCTATTTAATAGTGTAAAATGTACAATAATTAAAAGTGTACATAACATACAGAAATAGAATAGAGAAGAGAATGATTGATGCTGATGATCAGGAAGGACTTCACAGAGAAAGTATATTAATCAGAATGTGCTAGTTACAGTAGCAAGCAATCCAGCATTTCAGTGGCTTGCACAGTAACAGTTTATCTCTCATTTATGCAACACAGCATCTCTAGGCTTTTGTTGTCCAAGCAATGACTCAGGGACCCAGGCTTCTTCTATCTTTTGGAGCCACTATTATATTAGTCAGCTTTGCTGTAGTTAAAAACAAACAAGCAAAAATGGCATTCTAGTGGCTTACAGTAACAAAGGTGTTTTTTTCCCTTGCTTATTTTACATGTAGACTACATCTTAGCTATGGATCTCTTCCAGGCTGTGGCTTGGCTCTCTGTTCTTATTTGAGGACCCACGCTGAAGAAACAGCTTCTGGGTAGCTCTTCAATTCTTGCGACAGAGGGAAGAGCAACAAAGCAGGAAGAAACTCATGTGTAACATAAACTATGACTACTTCCATTCCATTGGCTATAGTTTTTTCTTATGTCCATTCCTAAAATCAGTGAAGGGGGAAAGTAAACTACCTCACAGGAAGTAAGGAAAATCCCGAGGTTGGTATAAGCCTCTTGAAGGATAGGGAAGTGAACAGTTGCAAATATAATACAAGTTGCCACATCCTTGCCCACTGGGACCTCACAGTCTTTCTCTTCTATTTTTACTTTTTTGGGGAGGCTTGAAAGTAGACTGGGAAATGCCATCTAATTGTGTGCCCAGGAAGAAAAGAAAAGGTATTAGCATCTAGCCAGTCTTTGCCACATGGGGTAATATATAAGCAAGGTTTTGAGGGATTGAAAAAAAGTTTGGCAAGCAACCAAGAGGGGCATTACGATTAATCATTAATCAAACATTTATTTAGTGCCTACTATATGCTAGCCCCAGTAGAAGATATTATAGATACAGAGATAAATAAAAACTCCAAATTTTTTGAGTGCTTACTATGTGCCACATTCTATTCTTATTAGGAATATAAAAATGAAAAAGAGAAGGATCTGGTAGTCCGCTGGGGAGGCAGATATATGAAAGAATAAAAGTTAGGGAATTATGCTCATTTAAAAAAGCCAGTCCCCCAAGTTTATATACTATATGATTCTGTTTATATAATATTTTTGAAATGACAAAATTATAGAGATAGAGAACAAATAAGTGGTTGTTAGGGATTAAGGAAGTGGGGGTGAGAGTGAGAGAGAAGTGGGTATGGCTATAAAAGGGCAACATGAGGGATTCTGTGTTGGTGGAAATATTTTGTATCTTGACTATCACTGTAGTTTTGCAAGATGGGAAACTGGGTAAAGTATAGATGGGATTTCTCTTTGAGTTCTTACAACTGCATGTGAATCTACAGTTATCTCAGATAATTTAATTAGGAAAATAAAAAATGTTTGCCCTGGCCGGTGTTGCTAAGTGGTTAGAGTGTCGCCATGCACTGAAGGGTCTCTGTCAAGGGCGCATACCTGGGTTGCAGGTTCGCTTCCAGGTCCAGGTTTGTGTGGGAGGCAACCATTCAATGTGTCTCTCTCATATCGATTTTTCTTCAGTTCCTTAGCAATAGCAACTTTTAGCCAGGTTGGGAATCAGGGTAAACATAAGTATTTTTAGCCAGGTGTATTACTTTCCTTTTTTGCCTCTCCTGTGTGTGTATGGAAATGCATATATTAGGATAATCCTGAGCTTTAAAACTTGAGTTTCAAACCACATCCTTCAAATAAGAAATCACTTATAAACATCTATAAGACCGGCCCTTGTTGCTTTTTTAAGTCAAGCAAACATCCCTTTAAGAATTTGATGAAAACCTGAGGCCTGCTCCCTACAAAATATACATACACAAAAAGATTACACACAGTTTTAGGTGTTGCACTGATATCCTAAACTTTCTTACTTAATAAGTCTGTATGTGAGCCTTAGTTAAACTGACCTCTGTGTCTTCCTTTGTCTCATCTATCTATCGATCTATTTATCCATTTTGCTAAGGTGTTTTTTTAACTGTAATTTTAAAATTCTGCAATACTATACTTTTAAAAAGTATGTATTTCATTCTTCTTCATAAGTTTTGGGAGAAAATGTCTGTGGCCATAGATGCTACACAGCTTTCCAAGAAGGTGACTCCAGCTTAATTAGCTTTAGAAACTGCTACGTCTGTGTATGAGAGACATACATAGCAAATGCTAGCAATGTTTCTATATACATTTGTCTTCCTAGGATCAGCAACCTGTTGTGAATTTTTTTTACTATATCTGTTTAGTTGTAAACCTAGTGATTGATATGGTTTTAGGACCTGTGTTCATCATTTATTTTCTTCTTGGACAGCTTTCAGTGGACACCCTACAATTTCTGCTCTTCTTATACATACAACAGTTAAATAAAGTCTCCCTGAGGACATCTTTGATTGGAGAAGAGTGGCCTAGTCCCAGAAACAGATCTCAATCTCCTGACCTGACTGAAAAATCCAGTTGTCATAATAAGGTACTGTTCAATTTCGGTGTCTTTCTCTGAAAGGGAGATTGTTTGTAAGAGAGATTGTTTGCCTTCATTAAAAATTTTGTTGTGATTACTTATAAAAGCCACTGATTTTCTGGCTTGTTTTATTTTGTTTTTCACTTTTTTTTTCCAAATTATAAAATAAAATCAAGGTGTGCAATCTTAAAATAGAGAAGTGACTTGAGTTCCTTTATTGACACAAAAATCACATGTTTTTCAGGCATATCATTCACTGTACTCTCATTAGCATTCCCATTTTCGCAAATGTTAATTTGAATCTGCTTATTTGACTAAAGATAAATAAAAAGGTGGAGTGTTTACATAGTCTGTTGAAATCTGAAAAATTTTCTAAAAATATCTTATGTTTAGGTAATATGCTTAAGTATACTTAAGCTCAGAATGTTTAAGTAATTATTTGTGATGTGATATCCTAGAAGTTAAATTTAACCAGTTAACTGCCACGATATTTTGAATTTAATTAAAAAAGATCCGCTGCTTGCATTTATAGATGCTTATGGCATACAGATGGTTAACTGCCTCACATTTTGAGTTTTAGAAAATCTTATTCTTTATGTTTTTATAAAAATATGTTTTTATCTGTTTATGTAAAAGTATTTTTTAAAACCTTAAGTGTAGATCTCAATATTTTTATCATGTGCAGGCTCTTTAATCTCCTTTTTCGAAGAAATCTGTTCACCCTTATATTCCATGATGGTATTGCCTCCTGGTTCTGCTTCTGCTTCTTCTCACTTTTCATGAGCCTCTTTCCCTCTGGCCCTTACAAGCCTTTGTTGCTTAGGATGCTGCAAATTTTGTTTTCTCATTCGACATAGTTATTCAGCATAATTCTTTTTCTTCCCATGATTTCATATATCTCAATGGTCCTAAGTTTTTCTCCATTCTAGATTTCTCTCTGGACATAGATGCCCTATCTCTATTTTAAATTCAGAATGAGCAAGTCCAGATGTATTAGAGATGCCAACCATTGCCTGCTATTTCCACACCATAGAGATGCCAAACATAGTTCCTGCTGAATGAGCACCATTTAGAGATGGTGTTTTGAACTAAGGTAGCCTGCATTAAAATCTGGCTCTGCCACTTAATATCACATGATTTTAGGCAATTCAGTTTATTTTTCTAGGCTTCTCTTCTCCAAGTGGGGATGATAATGCCTATTTCTTTTCTTTTTTTTTTTAAATTAAATCTTTATTGTTCAGATTATTACAGTTGTTCCTCTTTTTCCCCCCATAGCTCCCCTTCACCTGGTTCCCACCCCACCCTCCGCCCTCACCCCCCACCCACTGTCCTCATCCATAGGTGCACGATTTTGTTCAGTCTCTTCCCGCATCCCCCACACCCCTTTCCCCCCCAAGAATAGTCAGTCCACTCCCTTTCTATGCCCCTGATTCTATTATAATCACCAGTTTATTCTGTTCATCAGATTATTTATTCACTTGGTTTTTAGATTCACTTGTTGATAGATGTGTATTTGTTGTTCATAATTTGTATCTTTACCTTTTTCTTCTTCTTCCTCTTCTTAAAGGATACCTTTCAGCATTTCATATAATACTGGTTTGGTGGTGATGCACTCCTTTAGCTTTTCCTTATCTGAGAAGCACTTTATCTGACCTTCAATTCTGAATGATAGCTTTGCTGGATAAAGTAATCTTGGTTGTAGGTTCTTGGCATTCATCACTTTGAATATTTCTTGCCACTCCCTTCTGGCCTGCAAAGTTCTGTTGAGAAATCAGCTGACAGTCGTATGGGTATTCCCTTGTAGGTAACTGAGTTTCTTTCTCTTGCTGCTTTTAAGATTCTCTCTTTGTCTTTTGCTCTTGGCATTTTAATTATGAGGTGTCTTGGTATGGTCCTCTTCGGATTCCTTTTGTTTGGGGTTCTCTGTGCTTCCTGGACTTGTAAGTCTATTTCTTTCACCAGGTAGGGGAGTTTTCTGTCATTATTTCTTCAAATAGGTTTTCAATATCTTGCTCTCTCTCTTCTTCTGGCACCCCTATAATTCGGATGTTGGTGCGCTTGAAGCTGTCCCAGAGGTTCCTTACACTATCTTCATATTTTTGGATTCTTTTTTCATTTTGCTTTTCCCGTTGGGTGTTTTTTGCTTCTTCGTATTTCAAATCTTTGACTTGATTCTTGCGATCCTCTAGTCTGCTGTTGGGAGTCTGTATAATATTCTTTATTTCAGTCAGTGTATGCTTAATTTCTAGTTGGTCTTTTTTCACAACCTCGAGGGTCTCACTAGATTTCTTGAGGGTCTCATTAAGTTTATCGGCGGTTTCTAGAAAGTTCTTGAAAAACCTTAAAAGTGTGGTTTTGAACTCTATATCCAGTAGTTTGCTTTCCTCCATTTCTGTCATTTGTGTCTCGTTTCTTTGTCTCCGCATTTTTTATGCTTCCCTGTGTTGATAGAGTGGCTTTCTGTGCTAGGTGTCCTATAGGGCCCAGTGGCTCAGCCTCCCCAATTACCTGAGGTAGACACTCTTGGTGCACCCCCTTGTGGGCTTTGTGCAGCCTTGATTGTTTTAGGTAACACTGGAAGGGATTGACCTCCAGGCCAATTGACTGTGAGAATCAGCTGTGTCTGCAGTGGGTGAACTTCTGTGCTGGAGACACCCCTCCGGGGCAAGACTTGCTTCAATGGAGCTTTGGTGCTCACTGGTCTGCCCCCTGAGTGTGTCCTTTATGGATCCGAGGAGCTGCAATCTGGATGGTCCCACTCTGACCACCGGGCACACTGGCTCCTGGATCTCAAAGGAGGTGCTAATCTAGCCTCTGCCTGAGGCTATCCAGCAGAAGCCAGCTGTGATGCAATGCAAGTTGCCCTGGGGCCTTGGGCCAGCTGCAGTTTGTTAGGTAATTATCAGATTGCAAAGGGCCAGGCCTTTCATATGCAAAAGGCTCCGGGCTTGGGCGGGGTGGGGTCCCAGGGGATCAACAGGGCGGAGCGAGCAGTTATGGCTGCTCTCAGTCCTGCCCTCAGAGGCCCTGCTTCTCAGTGTCCCGGCAATCGCTGCAAGCACCCCCCGAGAGAAAGCTGCCCTCGAGTTCCGACCGATGCCAGACAGTCCAGTTTCTCCCTGTATGAGTCTGGGTCCCCAGAGACTCGCCCGGAACTGGAGCTCAGAGCTTGAGACTCCCTCCCGATTGAAAAAGACAACCCTGTCCTCAGCCACCAGCCCTCTCCGCATGCGCCTCTGTACCTCTGTATTTTACTTCTGCACCGCACCTCCTCTGAGTCTCGGTATGCTTTTCTCTTTCCTTCTAGTTGTAGAATTTCCACTCAGCCAGCCTTCCTGTGGTTCTGGATGATGTCCGTTCCGTCTTTTAGTTGTATTTTTGAAGTGGTTGTGCGAGGCAGCAATCTCCAGTGTTTACCTATGCCGCCATCTTGGTTTTAATGCCTATTTCTTAATGGCTGTGAGAATTCAGTAATATATGAGCTTGAGGTTTGTTGCGTAGTAGCACCAGTAAATGGTGATTCCAGTTTGTGCTATATTGTGACCTCTCCCAACAACTGATTAGACCAGGGATGGACACTTGACTAGAGTAGCCAATTCACTTGTATGTATTTAAAATTGTTCTGATTTGAAATGATGACCTGGCCTAATCAGTATCCCCAGGGATCAAAGAAAACCAGTTGGTGATGGGTGCTTCACTTGACAGCTCATGTGGCATTTGGACCAGAATAGTCAATTAAATTCATGATTGACCTGGAGTTATGAGGGATTAGAAACTCTGAGGTAATCAGAGGAAAAGAAGAGAATGGAACAGACATGCAGAGAGACACTGGCCCCTGAGAGAGAACCAGGTTCAAGATGGCTTTCCAGTTATAGTTCAAATGAGACCTACCTGTACTGCAGTTTTGGAGATGATTGTGTGTCCCTAGAGTACAATCACCCTTTACTTGAATTAATTTGTATTCCCCATATCAGTGAAAGTCCACCAGCCACCCATATTTTCTCTCTCATCACCCATACCTCGTTAGTTATCATGTTACTGATTGTGCCTCCAAATAACTGTTTAAAAGTCTGTCCCTTTTCTTCCTTTTATATAGGCCTTAATGCCATTTTTGGGGGGCCTTAATTTCTATAATTAGGTCCTACTTTGTCACCCTGCTGTTAGTCTACAGTCCACCCACTATACTGGATTTTCTCAAATGCAGAAGCATTATATCTCACTTCTATACAAACTCCATCAGTGAATTCTCATTGTCATTGGCGTTTTCGCATTGTACTCTATGGAACCACCACAGTGCCTACTATGGGGGAGGGGGATGCAACAAAAGGAAGGAAGAATAGGTGAGGCTGTGGATAGCCCTGCTTTGATATGTCCTTTGGCATCCAAATGAGAGTTTATGAAAAAGGAAAAAAAAAGGTATAGCTATTGAGAAAATATGTTTAAGTCCCTGGCACACAAAATAAAGCCCAGATGTCTTAGTGTTTTACTAGTATACAACGCCTTTCATGATTGGTCTTGGCTACTGTTTTAACTTTTTTTTTTAAGCTGTCACTTACCAGCATGCTTTCTTTACCTCACCCAGAATTATTTCCAGTTCTTTGAACACAGCAGGTAATTTTACTTCTATGGGCCTTGGCATATGCTGTTTCCTATGCTCAAGTGCCTTTTTTCCTTGTCTGTTTGCCTAACAGCATCAATCAAGAATCTATTCACACTGCACCCACTATGATTTTTTTTCCCCAAGTGGAATTCATTTTTCTCATACTCATAGAACGTCTTTACAGATCTTTGCTACAAGTCTTATCTCATTGTGTTATGATTTTTTTTATATTGTCTTTTCACTCATAGACTCTGAGTTCCTTGAGAGCAGGAACTATGTCTTATTCAGTTTTTATAATTCATCACTTAACACTGCTCATATTTCGAAAAAAAAATCTGTCAAAGGAGTAAGCCCCATCATTGGGACACCTGCTAACTCAAAGCTTATTCCTAAAGTTATAGCCTCTCTTAAATTTAGTTACTGTAAGATTAGTTGCCTTGTTTCATCCAGTGGAATTTAAAATATTTTGTAATTTGAGCAGGTAACTGAAGAAACCCAATGCTTCATTGAATGGATGTTCAAGGTGGTTATTTTTATATTTGATCTGAAACTTTTAGAGTATTTACTAGCTGTGTGACCTTGGGTGAGTTTTAACCTTTAAAAAATTTTTCATTGATCTTAGAGAGAGGAAGGGAGGGAGAGAAACATTGATGTGAAAGAGAAACATGGATCGGTTGCCTCTCACATGTGCCTAAACTGGAGATAGAACTCTTAACCTGGGTATATGCTCTGACTGGAATTGAACTTGTCACCTTTTAGTATATGGGGTATATAGCTCCAGCCAACTGAGCCATACCAGCCAGAGCTTTTTAACTTTTCTATATCTCTACTTCCTCATCTATAAAATGGGCTATTTTAAGATCATTGTTAGGATTAAATATGTTAAACTTTGTGTAACACTTAGTGCTTGGCACACACTAAGGGTTAGCTATTAGTATTTTGAATTGGCTAGGGTGGAGAGAGAATCTGTTTATACCTCTCACATACACACACAAAATCTTATAAGGTTTATTTGACACCTGAAATTCTTTGTTGGGGATGAGGCAAAGTAGAAATACGAAATAATTAAAGTATAAAAGTTTCAGGTCTTAATAGAATCTCTTTATTCTGTTAAGAGTGTTTTGTTTTTTAAATGTTTTTTAGAACTGGAATGATTACAGTCACCAAACGTTTGTCTATGATCATCTGTCAGATCTACTTGAGCTGCTTTTAGATCCAGAACAACTCACTGCGTCATCTCATTCGACTAATAGTAGTCTGGTCTCTAGAGAAGCTGTGGTGGCACTCAGCTTTCTTATTGAAGGTGCAGTGAGGAGAACCAGGAAGATATACCCACTTCATGAGCTTGCACTGTGGCAACCACTACATGCAGAAAGTGGCTTCTCAAAGATCTCTAAGACCTTTTCTTTCTACAAGCTGGAAGCCTGGTTGAGAGCCTGTTTGACTGGGAATCCATTTGGTACCTCTGCTTGCCTCAAGTCTGGAAAGAAATTGGCTTGGGCTCACCAAGGTATTTAATACTTTAATCTATATTAAATTTGAATAACAACTTAGAGAACCTAGTGTTTTCTGATATTAATGATCACACATCTTCCGTAGAAGACCTATAAAATATTGCTACTATAGAAGCGAAAAGGGGAGCATTTTTCTTCTGTATATATGCCTTTTTCTCTCAAGGCAGCAGTAGTCTCAGAGGATTTATTAGTCCAGATCATTTTGACTTCAGTTAACAGAAACTCCAACTTCAGTTAGTTCTCTTTTTGCTCTGCTTTTCTCTTTTTGACTCTTTCTTCCTCTCATTCTCATAGGCTCATTTGCTTCAGGTCTTCCTATTATGCACCACAGCAGAATTTGGCCATTCCACAGTTATACAACCTCAGGTCCTTTCTAGCTCCACAGACACAAGCAAACTAGATATCTCTAAATTGGAAATTTAAATTTATCATAGAATCTGGCTTTGGTTGCATTAGTTATCTATTCCCAATAGTCCAGCAATGGTTAAAGGGATAGGTTCAGGTGCCATGTGACTTATTGGGGCCCAGGTATAAGTTTTAAGAGAAGTAGGTGCCTATATTCAGGCAAATGTCAGACAAAATTAATGAAAAAAACACCTAGAATATACTTTCATAATCTCTGAATTTTAAAGATAAAGAGAAAATAGGTTCTTTGCAACAAATGTAAGAAAAAAATCAGTTTTGTGTCAAATTTTTATAATGCAAAAAATGGTTGATCAACAACTACAGAACCTTGAGCAAAAACATAGTGATCTAAGAATTCTATTCAACTGAGCTATTGCTTTAGTATGAAATCAAAGACTCTCAGATATGTAAGTCTCCCATAAATACATAGGAGATATTACATAATTCTTAATGTTGATAAAAGAATATAGATGCAAATAAATTTTTAAATGTTAGAGTAGGAACTAGTAGAAAAAAAGGATATCTAACCTCTTAGGATTATACTAAAACTAGAGACCCGGTGCACGACATTCGTGCACTGGCGGGGGGATGTCCCTCAGCCCAGCCTGCACCCTCTCCAATCTGGGACCCTAGGGGGATGTCTGACTGCCGGTTTAGTCACCACCTAACCACCCCCCTGCCACCCAGATAGATGCCTAACTGCTCCACTGCTGGCCCGGTTGCCCCCAACTGCCCTCCCCTGCCGGCCTGGTCTCCCCCAATTGCCCTCCCCTACAGGCCTGGTCCCCCGCAACTGCCCTCTCCTACCAGCCTGGTTGCCCCTAACTGCCCTCCCTGCCGGCCTGGTCGCCCCTAACTGCCCTCCCCTGCTGGCATGGTTACCCCTAACTGCCCTCCCCTGCAGGCCTGGTCCCCTCCAACTGC